TATGAAATAAATTGCTTTTGTTACATTTGTTTATATTAATTATAACACGCAATTGCATTATTGCATAACTTTCAGCTGTAATTCTGTTGCTCGTACGGTAGTGAAATTGTCATTCAAGTCCCGCAACACAACAAACATGGCCGTCTATTACATCGTGTTAAATTTGTGAGTAATTGTCTGTGATAAATGAATCGGTTTTGATGATAAACAAATTAAATAATACCTGTAGAAATAATATATCATGATCAGTTACTCACAACTTAAATCCAGACTACCGGTAAAAGAGAAACAACAATTCCAGTTTACTCCAAGTTATGCAAACAACTGACAATCAAACGATAGCGTCATGACAATACCCAGATTGTAGCCATTTAGATCTATCAGTAAAATAATACAATAGCATTTTTAATACCAATCAAAAAAACAATGATTTTGTCAACTACAAACAACTTCATAAAGAAAACGGTAACAACTCACTGGTAGATAATTAACTATACCGGTAAAATAATACAATAGCATTTTTAATACCAATCAAAGAAACAATGATTTTGTCAACTACAAACGACTTCATAAAGAAAACGATAACAACTCACTGGTAGATAATTAACTATACCGGTAAATTATAACAATGGGCCAATCACTGAATCCATGTTGAATGAAAACCGTCGGTAACTTAAAACGGTTACTAAAAGACAGTCTTTCTCAAAGAAAACACGCTGTCATTGTAACAGACAATACCCATAGCCTATGGTATAATGAGCGTGTGCTCAATGGAAATTACCCTTCTAATAGCCAATGAAAACTCTTTGTCTGTCGAAAGCCCCGCCTTTTCGTCAACTTGACTGATATCACCGTTGACGACACACTGTTTGGATTGCCGACAGTGGCTAACTGTACCGGTAAACGGATTAGCAGAAATATATGTCATCAAATACGCAGGAATAATAGAAATATTAACGAGAATTTTGCAGATATTGTTAGCACTGTCGTTTATGACTAACGGTATACGGAAAAGCCGGAATAATAGAAATATGACTAACGGTATACGGAAAAGCCGATACCGTATCTTAAATGGCCGCCATATTTATTGCACGAGAAAAGACGACATCGGAATGTCGGAATAGCAGAAAAATATGTCATCTAATTATTTACGATATCTTTGCAGATATTTTAATAACACTAAACCGCTATTGACCCATATTGTTGCCACTGTCGTCTATGACTAACGGTATACGGGATATCGGTATGGGAAATGGCCGCCATCTTTATTGCTGTTGTCGATATGATCAACTTCAGACCTCGATGTTGACACACAGAAAAGCCAAGATTTGCTTAATACTATGTATAAGGCGCACCCCCTCTAGAAAATAAAATACCTGGTAAAAAAAGTGCGCCTTATACACCGAAAAATACGGTAATATTTTTAAACATGTGTATTGTGGTAACTGAATTAAAACAACCAGAGGATGGAACCTCCTAATAATACATGGTTATATGAAAACCCTTAATGGATAAAATCACCTTATGACAAAGGGTTTAAGAAAAGTTCATCCCAAGCAGGGCCAAGAAAGGGGGCTGGTGAGGATTTACTTAGTTGCACAACAATTTTTCACAGAGTTACTTCCCCTATCACATAAACATTTTAGATTTATTTTAAAGTTGCTAGGGCTACTCAGGAGGAACCAGGTAAAAATAGTGTCATAGCCTACTTGGTTTCATCAGAAGCAGGAACCTTATCAAAATTCAGATATGCTCATCATCATTTATTTTATTAATTTCAGTGCGACAAATTTTCTATTTGTGATATATTATTAAGAAACTTCTTTAGTAATAATCCAAGAAGACAAAGCTATTATATAATAATGGTTAGAAGAAAAGTATTGTCGGTATCGTTCTATATTCAAATCTAATTGGTAATATATATGTATTTTCAGAAGTCGAAAAGCATCGATAAAAAATATCCAACGAACGTAAGTTATAAAAATATTTATAATATTTACATTTCCGTTTTATGTTAGAAATTAATCAAATGTTCAAAAATATGATGGAAATGTGTGTGGAACTACAACACATTCGTTTCTCAGTGTTTTTCTGAAATAGAATATTTATTTTTAATGATTTACTTGCTTTCTTTGTGAATTTTTGTTTGCACACATTTAACATGTTCATCCAGTTTAAGTGAATGCAGCTATATTTTTGAGATCTTGGACAAATACAAATATCTAAGAAATGGTAGTTAAACAAGACGTGGCCAATATATACAGTATATAGGTGGTGAATGCATTGGAGACTACATTAATTAAGAAATATTATTTAAAAAAGTATGAGTTTGCCCAGAATTTAATGTATTAATTTGTCAGATAAAAAGTAAAGCATGGGGGGGGGGGGATGTGCATGTAATTTATTATTCTATGCCCACATTTTCATGTGGACGTATTATGCCGTCGCCCCTCTCCGATTTTGACGAAACTTAAAATATTGGTCAATCTCCCAAAGATCTTGGTTCCTTTCGATATTGGCATGTGTCGAACGATAACTTCATGGATTATGGCCCCTGATTGTACGAAAAATTTTCACCCGATTTTGATGAAACTTGAAATGCATGTTTATAACCCAAAGATCTTGGTTCCTTTCGATATTTGCGCATATCGGATCATACCTTCCTGAATTATGGCCACTGATTGTACGAAAAATCATGTTTTTACAGGCCACGAAATTTGACGCGAACGATACCAATCGGTTACGTGCGGTCGCGCTAGCTCAAAAACACGCGACCGATTTCCTGGTTACGCAAATTGAAATATCGGTTACGTTAACAAATTTCATTAACAGATTTATTCACATTTGATCAATTTTTATACAGGATTAATTTGTGACACGGGTCTAAATTATTTGTATTATAGCACAAACTCCATTCATTCATTCTTGGCATTTCATTTCTCCATTTTACCGGTACTTTGACAGATCACGTATTTTGACACCACGTAGGCTATTGACCAGTTGCAAGCACGTTGATTTAAAAATGCCCCTCACTCCTAATTCTTTAAATGATTAGTTATGCCATAAATTTTGAAAGCGTACCTTTGGATTTTCAAACACAAAATGAGTTTGACTATTTAACATGTCGGCTTTATTTCCAAAGAATTTACTACACGTGTTCCTTTCAGTTTTCACTATAGCCATGCTGTAGTACCAATGACCCGTATGTATGTCGTCAACTTTGACGATAATGTAAACGATTTTACTCTCCAGTCTATTTAAATATTATTTCATGACATCAAACTATTCTGTTTCCTTTTGAGACTTTGTGTATAGAGTGCCGAGGTTTATAATAAATACTGTTTGTCAATCAGTCGCTATACCTATGAGTGAGGCTATTGCATGCTACGTGCTTGGATGAATGATTGCAAGTGACAAGTGTAATACGAAGTACGCATGTAGTCTTCAGTGACCGAAAACAATGTGGTAGCTACCATTCCTGGTTTTTGAAGGTCAGATATAATATAAAAACGAAAATCCATTAGTAATTTTTGAAACCGATTCCCCTCATTATTAAAATGTAGGGATTTAGTGAAGTGGAACATTTTTTTTCTAATGTTATATTGTTTAAATGGGGACACCGTGGGATTAAAGTCATTAACACTTAACCTAATATAATATTAAATATAAAAGAATAAAGTTAGTCAATCAGTCGCTATACCTATGAGTGAGGCTATCGCATGCTACGTGCTTGGATGAATGATTGCAAGTGACAAGTGTAATACGAAGTACGCATGTAGTCTTCAGTGACCGAAAACAATGTGGTAGCTACCATTCCTGGTTTTTGAAGGTCAGATATAATATAAAAACGAAAATCCATTAGTAATTTTTGAAACCGATTCCCCTCATTATTAAAATGTAGGGATTTAGTGAAGTGGAACATTTTTTTTCTAATGTTATATTGTTTAAATGGGGACACCGTGGGATTAAAGTCATTAACACTTAACCTAATATGATATTAAATATAAAAGAATAAAGTTAGTCAAGTTATTTCTTTAAAAAATACATTCACTGCAAGTGGAAATGAATAATAGCACCATTTAAATCTGGATAAAAAATGAAAACAGCGCAACCATTTTATGTAACCAATAGGTTACGCAATGATCATCTGGCGTAACCAAAGAAAATGGTTACGCAGAGCATAAACCCACAACCCTTTTTTCTGGTTACGCCAAAATTTGAAATTTCGTGGCCTGTTTTTAGCTTGTGGTCCCTCTAGAGGTCACAATTATTATCCGATTTAAAAAAGCGTTTGATTATATCTTGGTTTCTTTCGATATACCCACATATCGGATCATAAATTCCTTTATTATGGCCCTTGATTGTACACAAAATCACGTTTTTAGCTTGTGGTCCCTTTAGAGGTCACAATTTTTATCCGATTTAAAAAAAAAAACGTGTGAATATGTCACCGTTACACACTAAGATCTTGGTTCCTTTTGATAATCGCACATATCCGAACGTAACTTCCTGGATTATGGCCCCTGATTGTTCGAAAAATCACATTTTTAGCTTGCGGATTCTCTAAAGGTCACAATTTTTTTTTACGATTTTAAAAACTGTTTAAATATATCACCATTCCACTATAATGAAGGTTGAATTCAAATTTCGGGATAATTGAAATAAAACTGCCCAAGAAAATGGCCGCTCTTTGTACACAAATTGTGTAAAAATATGTAATATGAAGGTTTCAATAAAATAGTTTTTACATTTATTTATTTAAATAGGTTTGAATTTAATATTTCACAAGGAGTAAATGCATTTGATTATAATAGTCATTTAAATCTTATAGGTAAGTGTTTCTTGAATTTGATTATAATAGTCATTTAAATCTTATAGGTAAGTGTTTCTGTTTGAATTTGATTATAATAGTCATTTAAATCTTATAGGTAAGTGTTTCTTGAATTTGATTATAATAGTCATTTAAATCTTATAGGTAAGTGTTTCTGTTTGAATTTGATTATAATAGTCATTTAAATCTTATAGGTAAGTGTTTTTGTTTGAATTTGTAAATCTCAAATAAACAGACTAATTCACTGGTTATTCCCTAATTCAAACAATGCAATTTACATAAAAATTCTTCCAGTTCTCAATAGTGAAGAAAAATATAAATGAAATTTAAATTTAAGAAAACATAACAAAATAAGCATATTTTGCATAACATGTTTTGTAAAGACAAACCATGGGAATTCATAGTTGAAACTAAATGAAGAAAATTAAGTTATATGATTTTTTTTTTGTAGCTACTGCTGGAGTTAATAATCATGTGTGCTTGTGGAACCCATATGTAGTCTCTAAACCTAACGGTGTAAGTATTTTCAGAAGATAGATAATATTTATATATTTGCTTAATGACATGTTCCCTCATGGTTATTTTGTTCATACATTTTATCTGAAAATATACTTTAAACGACAAGAAAATAATAGAAAAGACAAGGATGTGTAAGCCTGATATACTAATTCAGAATAAAGTATTGAATTGGATTGATCTGATCTGATCTGTTATTTCATTTAGTGATGGGACGAACTCTAGTTTTTAAAATAATTCTTATAAACATGTCAAGTTTTTATATTATGCTTTAATAAAGATGTATCTTGTAGGTATTAAGAGGTCATATGGCTGGTGTTATTCAAGTACAGTTTATTAAGAATCGTGGTCAGTTGATCAGCTTTTCTAAAGATAAAGTTTTACGTTTATGGGATGTACAATTACAAGTCTGTATCCAGAGATTAGCAGGCATGTTTCCAAAAGGACCAGAAGGTAAAGTGTATTCCAACTTAATCATTAAATTGACTAATTAATCTGTATCCTCATTAACATACATTGATGTAATCATAGGAAGGATAGCAGTCCAAGGATTTAATCATATACTGCTGATATTGGTTTTTGTATGCCCACATTTTCATGTGGACGTTTATTGTCGTCGCTCCTGTCCGTCCGCCCGTCCGTCTATGTGTCCGTTCACATTTGTTTGTGGCCACTCTACAGGTCACAATTTTTATCCGATTTTGACGAAACTTAAAATATAGGTCTATCTCCCAAAGATCTTGGTTCCTTTCGATATTGGCATGTATCGGACCATAACTTCATGGAGTATTGCCCCTGACTGTACGAAAAATCACATTTTTAGCTTGTGGACACTCGATCTAGAGGTCACAATTTTCATCTGATTTTGATAAAACTTGAAATGAGTGTTTATAACACAATGATTTTGGTTCTTCTTGATATTCCCGCATATTGGATCGTAACTTCCTGAATGATGGCCCTTGATTGTATGAAAAATCACATTTTTAGCTTGTGGTCCCTCTAGAGGTCACAATTATTATCCGATTTAAAAAAGCGTTCAAATATATCAGATCGTAAGCAGAGAGTGAGATAATATAAGAGATAAGAGTGGCTATGAAGACCTGGTTATCTTACCACTGGCTTTATCTATAGACGAAAAAAAATATTCAACGAAGACCTATCATCATCTAACAAAACAAATCATCATATGAAATGGCATACTATATTTTTGAAGTTAAGTCATTTTGAGCTTTGAACATTTTGCTGATCTGTGATTTTTGTTTTCAGTTTATACAACTCTATTTTTTGATGATAGTAGAGATAGAAATGGTAACGAAAGGAATCGTTTATTTACAACATTTAACTATCAAATTACCATGATGGAGATGAAGTTAGAGATCAAAAATCGTGTAGTTAGTCACGATAAACCGGTCATATCAGCTATATATAATACAGTATTTAATCAGGTATTGTCATAGCAACCAAACATAACACAACCAGATATTGTATAACAACCAAAAATTTGATCACATATATAATACAGTTTATAATCACATATTTTGTTAAGTATTATGTAATTAATTTTATTATAGTAGGGGGTCGTCGAGTGATATAACACTTTTAGCATAAATCATAAGGTCTGTGATCTATCTGTTCAATCTCAGTCTTCATATGTGACAAGAATTAGGGTAATCAGTTATTTTATCGTTGTGTATAATCATTTACATGTAATTCATTGATTTTTAAAAAAAATGATTTTTAGGTAGTCAGTGTCTGTCAATCAGGAACCATAATCATGTGGATGATTGATACAGGTCAAAAGGTCAAACAGTTTAACAAAGTTCATGGTAATTCAGAAGTAACATGTATTGCTCAAGATCCTACTGAAACTCGTATTTATACTGGTAGTACAGATGGCACTGTGAAGGTAAATATATAGACTTGTTAATTGATATAATTGTTTTGAGATGTGATCATTGGATTTCAACACCTCTATCTATCTTATTGGTCTTTTGTCAATGCTATTTTAAGTTTCATCCTGCTACGTAAATAACAAGAAACATCCTAATTACTGGAAGGTAAGCAGTACGACAGGAAATCAACACTTTTCGAAATAAATTATCACTGAAAAAAATTGCATGCATGTTCCAATAGAAATGATTTAGATGAAAAGTAATTTAATGGATATATGGATTAATTTATCTGATATATAGTAACTTTCGAAGTAAGAAGTCCAAGTACATACATATGTATGTATCTTCATATACATTATCTACTACATTCTTATAAGTAATTACTGTACCTATAATACTACAGTTTGTTTAAGATCATACGGTCTGTCTTTGAGTCAAGTAACATTGTTGATCCCAAGCTTGTACATGACAAGGAGTAGGCTCAACTGTTCAACCTAATGAGTATCCTCCCACTGCTATATATACCTGAAATAAAATTTACCATATGTTAGTCATGAAATGACCTATTTTGTGTTGAGTAGATGTTAATTCCCATATCTTGCTCTCTCTGTAATAGTACAAATTATTCAAAGAAGTAAATTACAAAATTCTTATATTAAATCATCCTTCAATACCAATTATTGATGGTTTTTATACGCCCACTTTATACGCTTGTGGACGCTCTAGAGGCTAAAGTTAATATCCGATTGACTTTAAATTTATATACAGTGTTTAAGGCCATGAAACGAGGAAGCCTATTGATTTTCAGCGATTTCCGATAATTACTGCCAGAGTTATGGTCTTGATCACTTCAAAAAATCTTGTGGACGCTCTAGAGGCTAAAGTTAATATCCAATTGACGTTAAATTTATACACAGTGTTTAAGGTCATGAGACGAAGAAGCCTATTGATTTTCAGCGATTTCCATTAATTACTGCCAGAGTTATGGCCCTTGATCACTTCAAAAAATCTTGTGGACGCTCTAAAGGCCAAAGTTAATATCTGATTGACTTTAAATTTATACACAGTGTTTAAGGTCATGAGACGAAGAAGCCTATTGATTTTCAGCGATTTCCAATAATTACTGCCAGAGTTTTGGCCTATTGATTTACGATAAGTAATGCCAGAGTTATGGCCCTTGATCACTTTGAAAAATCTTTTGGACACTCTAAAGGCTAAAGTTAATATCCGATTGACTTTAAATTCATACACAGTGTTTAGGGTCATGAGATGAAGTCTATTCATTTTCAGTGATTTTCGATGATTACTGCCAGAGTTATGACCCTTGGTCACTTCAAAAAAATCTTGTGGACGCTCTAGAGGCCAAAGTTAATATCCGATTGTCTTTAAATTTATACACAGTGCTTTAGGTCATGAGACGAAGCAGCCTATTTATTTTCAGCGATTTACGATAAGTACTGCCAGAGTTATGGCCCTTGATCACTTTGAAAAATCTTTTGGACACTCTAAAGGCTAAAGTTAATATCCGATTGACTTTAAATTTATACACAGTGTTTAGGGTCATGAGATGAAGTCTTTCATTTTCAGTGATTTTCGATATTTACTGCCAGAGTTATGGCCCTTGATCACTTTGAAAAATCTTGTGGACGCTCTAGAGGCCAAAGTCAATATCAGGTTGACTTTAAATTTATACAGTGTTTAAGGTCATGAGACAAAGAAGTCTATTCATTTTCAGTGATTTTCGATAATTACTGTCACAGTTATGGCCCTTGATCACTTTGAAAAATCTTGTGACGCTCTAGAGGCTAAAGTTATCATCCGATTGACTTCAGATTGATACACAGAGTTTAAGAGCTTGAGACGAACAAGTATATTGATTTTCAATGAATTTTTATGACTTGAACAGCTAAATCCTTGATATTGAAAACCAAACAAATTCTAATGGTTTTCTGATAATTATGCGACAACACTTGTTGACTGCCCGGACGATTTAGCTGCCGTGGGCGTATGTTTCGTTGCCTGGCAACCTATCTTTTTTTTTGCACACCCTTACCTTCTTCTTCATAATGAAACAAAGATTTTATATGACACAATCTTTTTTGGAAAGCCTAATTGTCTGTACTGTATGATGGTTATGTTTGGTCTGTCTATGTTTTGTTGTGTAATTCTCCTGGATTGTCTGTTAGATTTGATTGATAAACTCCATTCATCTATCTCACTTACTATATGTGGAATCATTTAATGATAATCTATAAAGATATTGATTCTTTACTGACTGCATTTATAATAATATGTAATATTATTGATTGTATATATTCAGCAGTTGTACATGTGAATGATATTCAGCAATCGTATAGATGTGAATGATTTTGTCTTTCAGGTTTGGGATTTTAATGGTCATTGTTATCATGTATTAGAATGTGCTGGAGGTCAACCTGCTGACCTAGGTCAAATATTAATATTAAAGAGATCAGTTATTGTTATTGGTTGGACAAGGTAAGTAGAAAAGATACATTCAAATACATTCTAAAACTGTCTCAAATAAATCAGCTGTAGCTGCACACCTTAAAGCTAACAGACAACACAGCATTAATTGGGCAGATATAAAAATTTTAGAGAGAAATCACGCAAACAAGAAAACAAGACGGATACTAGAAGCTTATGACCCTTTAATTTTAAGTAATAATTAATGCCAGGAACTGTTTCACATCATAAGATATACTATCTTTTAGCCTGATATAATTTAAAAAAAAGTTTTTAAATAAGCAGTGATATGTATACGATGTAACTAGATCCATCATTTATCTTTATGTACATTATGTAATACTATTCCATGTCATAATGCAATGAAGTCCTATTTGAATATCCTAATAATTAAGGTGCTTTTTCACCATTCACTTTATGCTCTTTGATGTACAGAGACATATCTTATGGCTTCACCTAGTAGGTTTTACCCATCATCTATGTTTTCATTAATTCCTCTTTAATCCTTTATCCGCTGTTATTACTATACTATGTGCTATCATAATTAAATCTTAGTATAATTACTTTAATAACCAATTAAGCTAGGGTTTCATGATTGTTAACTTAGGTTTCTCTTATTATTTTTCAATGTACCTATATATAACACTGTCACAATTTTTTTTTCCTCATTTGTAATTTGTATGCTTGATAACGACCAGTGAATTCTTGTCGAAACGTCGTGTGTATAGTGATTGTTATCCATAGAACTGTGTTGTGTTATATTATGTTCAATCACTAAATGCCATTCAAAGATTATAGTTCATATTTAGTTATTTCATCATAGTTACCTTGACAGTACATTTGAAAAACGGACAATACATTGAAGATAAGTAAGAACATGTTCATTTCAGTTCAGTCTTATTTATATGGTTTTGATAAATGCATTTTGTTTCTGCAGTGTTTTTTTTACTTCCGTTTTGATATAGTTATTATTTGTATTATTATAGGTTTATAACAGTGTTTCGAAATACAAGTTTTAAAGATTATCATGTACAGCCATCTGATTGGAAGGGTGGACAGGTTAGAATTATATACATCTTGTTATAATGAATATATGATATAAATAATGACCAGTAATTATCAATACGCTAATGTTCACACAGACTGACACATATCCAGTGTTGTAAGATGTTGTTTATTTGGTATCCAGTTTGACTTGATTTTTTGTGTATGAGACTGGAGTAAAACCACATCAGTTATGTATCTATTTGGTTCCCACTTTTCATATTGAACCTATTTTATGTCAGAGTACAATTGATTTTATCATGTTGGTTCACATTTTTTTTTCTTTGTCTTTATGAAATATTCTTTAAGAGAGGGTTTTGTTAACCCAACTGTTTAATATTAGCGTAACAAATATTTGATTGAAATTTAGTGTTCTATTTCTTATCTATTTACATTTTGTTGTTATTATTATTATATAAGAGTCTATTATATAAGAGCTGTATTGCATGTTTATGCCTGTCTTCATTAGCCCAGTCGGTACAAAAAAGTAGGATGTTAAAACCCCATTTCATGTTATATATGCCTACCATTTTACTTTCAAAAATGTCATGATCGCTTTTTGTTTAGGCTCACACAGAAGATATATTAAATGTTACTTTTATGGGTCCTCACACACTTGCTACTGGATCATATGATGGAGAAATTGTCATCTGGAACACTAACTCAGAGCTAGCTACAAGACATATGAGTCAAAGATCTAAAAGAGAAGTAATCAAATCAAGAAGTAAATCATTCATAACAAATAAAGAGGTAGGTATTGAAGACTTTATATACTAAGCAGCAAAAGAAACGTCAGGTTGGTACACTCAAAGCCATTAAAAGCGCAATGCCAAATTCAAAGTTTATTTACTGCAACAACTTTTAACAAATGTACATAACAATTGACAAAATCGAGATGACAAGCATCTGTGGATAATTTCATGAAAGAATTCACTACAAATGCACAAAACCGAAACGTCAGAGAACCATGAAACAAAGCAGGGTTCAGCTGAAGTCAGTATCGGGTATGTCCACCCTGAGCTCTTATACATGCCTGAAGTCGCCTTGGCATGGACTGTCATAGATGTCTCACTGCACGCTGTGGGATTGTTTGGGCATGCGTGAAGCATATCTCACTGGATCTCATCAGATAAACCAAAACAAAATAGAATTTAATTTTAGTGTGCACAATGTAAATATATAGACAAATTATGTCAAACATAAATTATTCTTTTAATAACCAGAAGAGACTTTGAAAGCACTAATCCCTGTTTTCATTTTCTGCATGCTTTGTAATGGTAACAATATCTTTGGATCTAGTTATAAGGATGCAGAATAGACTGCAGACATTAAATGTAAAAGATCCTTTAAGTATTGGAATTTGAAGAAGAGTAAACAGAAGTGTGTCCGTTGGGTCAAACAACCCCCCCCCCCCATCTAGTCTTAATATCATCATCTTATTCCATAAATGGGTAATGACATTTGAAGATTTCTTATGAAATGTGATATACATGAATTTATAAAAAAATCAAGAATTTGGTAAATAAAATGCTATGATATATATTAGAACTATAACAACCTATAATTGACAATATAATTTTGACATTATTTTGTTTATTTAAAGCCATCAACATTAAGTGTGGTTGGTGAAGAAACAGAAGGTGTAAGACCTACTACAGGACATAGTAAATCTCGAGCTTTATCTAGAGTTAGTGAAGGTAGTAATGATGAACAGGTAAATATCTTTTTTTATATTGTGTTTTAAACATTGTTAAATTATTCACACAGGAAGGTATTCGAATGATCAATTTTTTTCTTTTCTCTGTAGTTTATAGGACTACAATCTATATAAGTCAAGAATTCAGTCCCATAATTGTATGTGAGAAAGTATGGTGGCCTTAAGCAGTGGAATCACTTGTTTAATACAAGTGATAAACAACATTGTGTGGGACTTCAATTGCATCATGTTAATCCTACAATGAACTAGTTGTAATACTCAATCCAAAATTCGCCTATTTAACAAAATGACTTTATTTTATATAGAATGAGTTTGGCTGGGCCATTTGTAAGTTATTATTCCTTGCATCAAGGAAAGCTAACTCTGCCAGTCGTGGGGCCAATCTAGTGTCTTGTGGTGGCAATGGCTGGGTAAGATTCTGGAATGCTAATCATGGTACACTGTTAGCTGAGTTTGTGGCACATAAGCATGGTAAGTTGATTACTATAAATAAATCCAAAAGTTTTCATAAAATTGTTAATGTAGTATATGACATTCATAATATGAACAATATAAATTATTTCTATGGCATTTAGTAATTGAACTGGAAATACACAAGACAGATTTATATGGAATACAATTACTGTTTATTACTGAGCGACATTTCAACTAGGCTTCTCTGGTCTTTTTCAAGGAAATGTATGAATAATATGTGATTAAACATCTCTGGGGGAATGTAGTGCTTCCACAAAAAAACAAATAACCTTTATCACTTGTATCAAGAAAATAGATGAAACTAATATTATATAGCAGCATATTTTGCATGAGCATTCAATGAACACACTGGAAACCGCTACAATGTCTCTGCAACAGATTGACTTTGCTCATAATTTTATAGAACATGCCTAATCTGATAGTAACAAACTCAAAATATGTCCATTCAGATTCTATTTCTGCTGATCTGCGACGATCAACATGTGATAAAATACCTTTTAAAAAATCAAATCTCCATTATGATATTTGTTTATCCTGTTTTGTTGTAGCTGGTAGCATTAAAATGGCTACTGATAAGAATAATCAGTATTTAGCAACTGGTGATGTAGATGGTAATATTAAAGTATGGGAGATCATTGAATATTGTTTACATGAATCAGAGGAACTCCTTAAAACACCACCTAGTAAGTATTAAACTAAACATTTAAATCATATAAGTACTTTTGATATCTGGGAAGTTCATGTATTTAAGACCAGATCCTACTGTGACAGGCTACTGTTAAAGATTTTGCTATGCTGCGATATGTAATGCTTTCCTGCCAAATGACTAGGGGTGGGCGATATAACCGGTATACCGGTGTATTGCGATTCAAACTTGCCAATACATCATATCGTGATACATGTCCAAGAACCGGTTCAGTCAATACGATTGGCAACTTCCATAATAATCATCGGAATATTCCGTGAGATTGTCAATTTTATTGAAAACTTGAGAATTTCCTTAATAATATTACACACTAATAGTTGCGAGAATGTCATTTGGTCATTTAAGAAATAAAACTATGCTTTATTTATGGCTAAACCATGTAAATTAAAAAAAGATAGTCTCGTTCATCTTTCGTTGTCCCGTAAACAAACCAAAATGGCGGGCGTCGAAGCAGATGCCGATTTTACAAAAGTGGCCAATACTAAAGCAAAAGCTGGTATCTGGAAACATTTCAGTTTGAAGAAAATGAAAACAGATGGGCGTTTAATGTTGAATGTTGCATTATGCAATAAATGTAACGCGAAAGTGAGTTATTCCGGTGTGGACAACAAATTGAAACACACACACAAGGCGACACCATTGATCATTGAATGACATTTAATCATTGATAGATATTATTCTGCAATGTACTCATTGTACTATCAGTCTGTTAGACTGTCACTCCCAGTGTCACATTGGACATTTTTTCAAAGATTACTTATTGTTGAAAGAAAGAAATAAACACATGGGTTTTGTGGATATCTTGTTCTTGTAGTTGACTAGTTGTACAATAGAGGAATTGCATGTTCAAAGACCTTCACATGAGTTTCAGTGTTGCTATGAGATACATTTAAGGCTGTACTTTTGCAATAAATCTGGAGTTAACACTTTCACAATATATTGCAATATGTATTGCAATACGACAAATCGTATCGCAATATATTGCAATACGATTTTTTTGGCAATACCCACCCCTACAAATGACCATTATCTATTAGAGGACGAGCCAGATTGGCTAATTCTGTTTTTTCAACCAATTACAGCCTAGTTTTCCTCAATGTTTGATATCAGTGTCTCAAAATGAAATGTGAAACTGTTTTATCTGACATGTAACTGAGCTGGTTGTCATTACTCTTGCGATCAATTTATTTTGACAAGTATCAATTAAAGGGGAGTCTTTGCTTATTATTCACATAGATAAAATATTTGGTTGTATTATTGTATTTACAAATGTAGATGAAATCATTATTATATATTCTTTATGATTACAGAATTAGTATCAGAATTTCAACCACATATAGATATGATCAACACACTGGAGATCTGTGAGAGAAATGAACGCCTGCTAGTTATATCAGCTTCCTGTGATTGTAGTGTTGCAGTTTGGGATGTATATGGAAATAAAATTGGAATATTTGGACAGGTCTGTTGTTATGCTAGTAAGAGAATTAAGAGATTAAAAAGATAATCTGTGAATTAAGTATAATATATCATGATAGATTGGGTCATTCCTTGTCAAGTGTACCAAATTTCGGAAAGTTGGGAACATGACCCTCTCCAAAAAAATTATAAAATATATATGTTATAGTATATGGCCTTAAGCTAACAAATCCTAAGTTAAGCCTTTCTAGGTCGAAAACTCGCTGAGATATGGCCATTTGAAATTAGGTTACTGAAACAGATCATAAATTTCGTAAAATTTTTTCAGGTTTTTGGGTGCTTTAAACTAACATTTCTAATAGGAGTAGAACTCTCTAACTTTGTAATCTAAGACAACTTTTGGTGTGCGATTCACACAATTAGTGCCATCAGGTGGCAAAATGTGGAACAAATCTCATTTTTCAGGATTTCAACAGCCTCTGGCAAAGTCACTATTGTATACACAACCTCCAAAATTGGCATAGTTAATGTAAGTTTTTCTTTTATCAATTTACAAAAGATTCTGAGTAGATCAGATGTATACTTTTCCAAATATTCAGTCTCAAAATTCAATGCACACTGAAAGCATACAAAATATACCGATTTCTCCTTCATTTTTGGCCATGTGGGACACAGGTTAAAGTCCATCTTGTGTATATTTTTATTTGATGGCTTATTTTTTTAATTGGCACTTAAAATCTGTGCGGTGACTATTATCAAAATTGTTGACTTTTCATGTTGATTTTGAAATTAGGTCTAAATGACCTATACACCTCAAATGTGTCTATTTAGAGTAAATGTTTGTGTAGATTACGAATATGCAATTATTTTGGATCTACTTTGTATTGTTCTAATTTTATTTTGCCTCCCAAATGAGAATAAAATGGTTATTGTGCATCACAAATTGGAATATTGGGCTTTGACAATCAGATTAAAATTACTTCTGAAAGACTTAGGCCCCTCATATTTGTCATTTTTGACTTATTCTGGCTACAGGGATTATCGTTTCTGTTTAATTTTGTTGCTTCCATAAACAGGGGAAAACTTGTTTTGTTTGCTTAGAAAGTTGAAGGCCTACTCTTATATAGATGTACTATCACTAGATGCCTTAAAACTACAGGCCCCAATTCTTAACGCATGGTTTTGAAACTTTGCATACTTACTCTTTATACCCTTCGGATGTTTCCTATTGTTTTTGGTGCGTGCCCAACCCTCAGGGTCAGAGACACACCCATTTTTTCATTGTGTGTTTTGCCTACAGACCCCTATTGCAATTCTTAATGGATCGTCTTGAAAACTTGTCATATATATTCCATATACCCAAAGGATAACTGTTATTATTTTTGGTGCATGCCCGACCCACAGGGGCACAGCAACCCCTGATTTTTGTGTTATTGTCCACAGACTGCAATTCTGAACTTCAAAAGAACGGCGACTATTGATTTTGGTGCATGCCCGACTCCCAGGGGCAGTGTCACGTTCCTGGATGATCCATTCAGAATTGCAGCCCCTAGGCAATAAACATAAAAAATGGGTGTTGCTGTACATCCAAAATGATTACATATTTGTAATCTACACAAAAAGTCACTCTAAATAGACACGTTTGAGGAGTATAACGTCATTTAGAAGTTATTCTAAAATCAACGTGAAAAGTCAACAATTTTGATAATAGCCATTAAAACTTCATCACCGCACAGATTTCAAGTGGAAGCCATCAAATACACAAGATGGGCTTTAATGTATGTTATAGTGTAGGGTAAATGAAGTTTTGTTATCAAACTTTTTCAGAATTTTAACCTCGGTCCCACATGGCCAAAATTGAAGGTGAAAATGGGTGTATTTTGTACATTTTCAGTGTGCATTAAATTTTGGACTGAATATTTGGAAAAGTACATGTTTATATATATATATCACATCGACTTAGAATCTTTTGTAAATTGATAAAAGACCAATTGACATTAACTATGCCAATTTTGGAGTTTGTGTATACAATAGTGATTTTGCCAGAAGCTGTGGATATCCTAAAAATAAAAGTGAATAGTTCATTTGTTCCACATTTTGCCATTCGACATTGAGTGTGATACTGAATTCGTAATCTACTCCAAAAGTTGTATTAGATTACAAAATTAGAGAGTTCAACATTCATTAGAAATGTGAGTTTAAATCAACTGAAAACCTAAAAAAAATTACTGAATTTATGATCCGTTTCAGCACCCTAATTTCAAATGGCCATATCTCAGCAAGTTTTTGACCTAGAGAGGAGGGGGTCATGTTCCTTCCCACCATTAGTCCAGTTGATATGGAATGACCCAGATGTTAGTTATTTGGGGGGTGGGGGTTGTTGTTCTACATTGACATCTGCCATATTTTCTTTGAATGAGGTGATCTGATTAATCTATATGGACTAATTTAAACTATGCGACTGTAGAAATCCAATAATTTTTTTATGATTCTCAATGAATTTGAACAATTTGCCTACAATAGTTTGAAACTAAAAGGGGTCACGGTGGCTAAGTGGGTAAGCTGTTAATCCGCTTCCTCTTATAGATATCTAACTCCCTCAAAATATCAAATGTGCACTGTGAGTTTGCACACAGGAACTCATTTATCAAAAGACAATAATGAACAAATGTAGATTTAGTTAATTATTAACAAACTTTCTAAACATTATTTTTCAACTAACTGCTTACCTTGGCAAATCCCTTCTGGTCTTCTAACTGTAACAATTTCAGGAAATACTGATCCTACTAATCAGAAACTATTTTTGTATCTCTTCTGTTAGCAATTTGGGTGAAACACTTTATCCCTGATATTATTTTCAAATTCGTCGTAGCGTTACATGGAAATGATTGGTCTGAGATTCGCCAATCATAGCCATAACCTTTTCATTTCCGTCTTTTTTCAGCCACTCCCTGCAGCAATGATCCTAAATTTAATGTATGTATTTAATGTATTTAAGACTTGTGAACCTTCATCCTCATTGATTTAATGTGAATAATACATTTCATGTTAGTTTTGTTATTGCACTGAGGGCTGACATGTTGGTATCTAGAAGCACCCCATTGGTCGAATCATGTCACATGACCATTTTAATCAACAAGGAACCTCTCAAAACACTCTATTTTGTTTGATTGTGGTTCGATATGGAGTGCGAAATTTAAAAGTGACTTTTATCAAAACTGCGGGGTATTTCTCTAACAACTTTGATTTTTGAAATGAGAATGCTATAATTGACACATTTTTTCACTAAAATGTTAAATTGCTTTTTGGTCGAGCCAAAGTGGCAAGATATTCGATGTCAGCTGCTGGCCTAACCCCATTTCATTTCATTTCATTTTGAAACTAAACATTAAATACAGAAGTTCTTGCTTAAACAACAGAACTGAGTAGTAGTGACATTTAAGTTTGAATTTGTTTTAGGAAGAACATTGGAAAGTTGAACCATATTCACCAGAAGAACTAGAAGAAAGAATAGACACACCAGTAAGAAAATTGTTTTTAACGTTTTAAAAATATATATTTCAATAATTATCTTCCATAATTTGATTTTGATATAGAATTTATATTAACTATCATAATTTATTAAGTAAGGAATGGTGGTTGATTTTCTTTAGTTTTAATTATGTTATCAGGAATGTTATTGTGTCCACATATATAATTACATGGTTCACAATTCTATTGAATACAATTACTGGCTATTTATTTTCAAACACTAATAAAATATAAATGTGATGAGACATGTAAATACAATACTTGGTTAAGCTGACCAACCAGAAACAGCCCTCTGATAACCTTGAAGGAAACTTAACTTGATAAGAAAGTAAGATTGATATATAATATTATTAGTTATTTATATATTAAATATATTGTAGAAAGAAGATGAAAATAAAGAAGTGATAATGGATGTAGAAAGAAACAGTGATTGGTCACCTGATGAACAAGCTATAGATAATCCACAAGAATACAGAATTAACTCATGGAGTAAAACTTTCCTAGGTGAGTCATTAATACATACACTCGACTTGAATTCTATTCTTTAAATACCAAGAAGATTGACATTTGAATAACGCTGAAATATCTGTTGACAAATCATACACCAACCTGATAAGCAAGTATCACCTCTGTTGATGCATCATACTTGATTACCATGGAAAAAAAACAAATTATAAACCATTTATTAATAGATTTCTGTAGAACAATATTTGGTTTATATAGAGTAAAAGAATTAATTTGTGTTTTACAGTTTTCTGATCAGTAACCCAGATATGTTTGTTGCTCTTGCTCGTGTAACTCAATAAATTATAACACATAGGGGATGCTCACTTGTCAATCCAGAATGTCAAGAATTAACAGGACTGCAATCGAGTGAGGTGGAATTCAGCCCGGTCACAGTTCTGTCAATCCCGACAACAGCGGTGGTATGAGTAGAATCGTGTCGTAATTAAACACAACGAATGTTTCAGCTGTCATGGTTGATTGAAATCTTTTCTTAGGCAGTTGGCGCATGCATTCTAGCCTGAAATATCCCTTTTCTCTCTCAAATGTCACTATTTTTGGAGTTGAGAGAATTCTATTCTGGAACATTTAGGTAATCGAATATCCCCAAAGTTTGGGAGACTAATGGGAGATAACTCTTGTGGAAATTCAAATTATATTAAGAATTCATTTATTTGTTATATTCTCTTTATTTTTGGAATGTTTCAAGTGTTTGTATGTTTTGATTTGTAGGAAGTTACAGAAAACATTTTTTCAGTACTAAAATTATGTAATAAATAATTTTAAACAATGAGGCTCGCATATGATGTAGTTTTAAGTCTCATGAAATGTGTTTTTTGAAGACTATCACTAAAGGGGGGTAATCTGATTTAAAATATAACCACAATAGAGATTAGTGTATTGTTGATAGTTATGAAAACAATTCACTAATTATTATAAGGCCATTAATCAATCAATTGACAATCAAAACACAGAGTAAACTATTATTGATTTTGTCTATAGAATTTTCAATTATAAATTTATATTACTAAGGTAAAGATTATCAAGAATTAAGAGTGTGTAAAAGAGAAAGACGTCAGCCTAGTACTATACCCAATCTACCCTATTTACACTGGGAGAAAACTGGACAACCACCAGCAGGTCCTTATTCTGTAAGTTTATTTACTTCACATAAAGCACTTTCAGATAATTTATTTTTTTATTTCAGGATTAGTAAACAAACATTTCGTAATCAAATGACTCTGATGAGAATTTATCATTTTTCCTAATATTGTTGAGAGAACATCCAGGTTTAGTCAAAATCATCTATGTCTGTTTGAGGCTATATTGTTTAACCTGCATTTTAGTCAAAAATTGTAAGAGAGGTATTATAAATATTATGATAGCCAACCCTCTATGGAAATTATCAAGGTTTTTCTTGTCATCTGCTTTCTCTAATTTGTCACAAAAAAGTCTATTATTGAATCTCTAAAAAAGGTATGTACCTGAGGTTCCTTGTAAATAATTCCAATGCTACAAAAAATCATGTTTCCAGTCATTGTTTTCTATTTTTTGCTGGCGAGCTGAAGAAAGCTCTTCTTAATTTGCTAAAATGAAAAATAGCTATCTTAAACATTCTCTACCAGTTTGGACAAGGTGAGGGATTTTGAATATGCAGTGTTATATCATAACAAGAAGAGCAATTCCATTCATTGATAAGGCAGGGGTACTTAGAGTACAAGATTCAGAGTCTATATAACCAGGATTTCATTCTATACACCATTATACAGTCACTTTTGAACATTGGTCAATGATATTGTAGCAGCCCCGACAAGGGCGGTCTCGCCTCTAAAGAAGGAAAATACGATTTTCGTTAACGAAAAAAAAAAAGTGAAACTTTATTCCAGGTTCACTTGGCTATCAAATATTGAACATGCACTTGGAAATATAACTTGGTAGATCCTTCTTAGGCTTTCCTTCCGGTGGCTTTGAATTTAGGACTAGCGATCAGAATAGTATACAAAAATGATAGCTATTTAATTGGGGGAAATTGTGTAATTTATGAAAATATATTTATGATTTACTTTTTATGTTATTTTGGGAAAATTTACTTTACTTTAAAATAATCATGGAATGTGCCCTTTTAAGACCAGGTTCTAAGAACTGGTGAGGGAGGAGTTAGTGCTCTTTGACTCTAACCAGACAAGTGCCAACGAGTGAATGCCAGTGGAAAGACTGGGGGGGCCTTATATACTCTAGCTTTAGGTGTCACGTGATTGTCTCGACCAATCAGATCACGTAAAAAGGGGACGTATTTCGGCTAGGAAGAATCTACTTTACAATACTGGTACATGAAATGTAATCATTATTAATGAACAGATAACTTTTGAGGAGGCAATAAGTTGACAATTCAAATTATATAGCTAATCTGACTTATATACAACTCTTAGAATACTAATGGATGTACAAAATAATAATGAAATTAATGTAATAACAATACGTCCTTGGCTACATCTCTATTACGTCCCACGACGTTACCGTGAATGAGCATTACACCTCAAATACAAAAGACTAATTTTAACATGGTAGAACTCAATATCGCTATATACAACCGTTACAAATCATGCGAGGAATAACATGCTCCATCCGATTTCAATAAAGATGAAAATGTAAATTAACGAATAATTATATCATTAGCACAGTCGCCATTGCCAAGATGATCACGGCGTATGAATTTCCTACTCAAGGCCTTGCTTGCACAGAACGTAATATTTAATCTAAACACAATAGATTTAACTGAGCCTGGATAAGATTATCTAATCATCCTTTATACTTTATTAGCGATCATTTCTTAAACATTTATTTATTGTTTGTGATAACTAGAAATAAGAAGTATTTGTGTACCCATTATCGACATCGCGCTAACAACCGTGTTTGAAAATGGAGGCTTCGCCAAACCCTCGTAAAAAACGAGATAAACTTTTAAGGAATTACTCTGTGAATCACGATTATAACCGTTCGTGGATATAACAGTGAACATATGTGAAGGTAAGGTAAATTACTGATATTTAATTGACACGTTTAATGTGACTGAAACGACGATACGTATCAAAATTCATCGAGTAAACGACGTGTTGTTCAGTGGACACAAATACTAGAAATGTCTTCACTCGTTATAGGTATTAACTAACTCTAAATTTAGACAACACATGATGGCATTTCACACGATTAATAGCTTACGTTACTCAACAATCAATATTACTTATGCTAATCATTGTTTCTATAAAATTTATCATTACAATCACTGTAAACAATCACCGATTACATACGTTATCTTAAAGAAACGAAAGGCATCCCCATGTTACTATAATTAGACTATCGGAACTAAACTGACTGTCAAATTCTGAACATACTGCCGATCCGACTTAGGCAAAGGAAAAATGCGGGAATTAGATCAAATGGACGAAAATGCGATTTACGCGCAGAAATTTAATAGGAAAAACGTGCAGGATCGAAGGGTCCAAACTATTTTATCCGAGTTGAGCGAAGATCCGACTTATGCGAGGTTTACTGTATTAACTTTATTCTCTACAGCATTACTATGACGGACAGACGGTGGGTGATGACAATGTATGATCACATTTCAATGTGGGCGTATAAAAAATAGACAAGTGCTTATGATGATATGGAATGAAGAAGGGTTTAAAGTCTAGTCAATATTTTCTTAAAAAAAGGATTGAACAGTGGCTACCGTTATGGACAAGTTGACCCAGAATTGATTTTGATTATGTTAACTTTGATGTTATATTTGAGCAGTCTGTTTGTTAAGGCTGGTATTTCATTAAATAACTGAGATATGAACATGTTGAAGTGAATGATTTATTACCTGATATCACCCCGACTAAATTGGGTTTTAACTTAAGTATTGTTTGTATTTGGACCAAATAGATATTTGAATATGTACTTAGTCCATGCATGTATTATTTAGTAGGATGACCCAATAACAGGGTCATTGTTGACTATGAGAGAGCAAACATAAAATATGAAAGTTGTATGTACTTGAATCCAGTGTTGACTAGATAGTTAACATCAATTTTACCCAAATACCTGTCATGATTAATTGAAACTTGCAAAAACAGCTTTGCCATAAAAATGATTATGCCGATTATATAATACCATTAAATACTAAATTATACCAAGTGCCTTTGACTTTATTGTGATCAAGAGCTTATTAAGAATGTTTATTCCAATTATACAAACTAGCCTGAACTCATTGATGCCTGATTGATACTCGATCCACTTGCATAAAAAAATAAAACTAATACTTTTTTTTATATGAAACTAATGAGCCAATATATTTGGAGTTATCCTCTAGTGGTATTTTTATACACCCACATTTTCATGTGGACGTAACTTGTCGTTGCTCTTGTCCGTCCGTCCACAATTTGTTTGTGGACACTGCACAGGTCACAATTTTTATCCGATTTTTAACCCATGTCAACCGCTCGGACGATTTAGCTGCTGTGGTAGTATGTTTTGTTGCCTGGCAACCTATCTTTAAAATAATGTAGCCTTGGTTCTGAATGAAGAAATACTGTTGATAGGCCTATGTATGTGGAGGAACCAAAATAAAATGAACATGAGCCGATTCAAAACATTGCGTACATGAGCACGACAAATACCAATTTGGCAGACAATTCGTTGTCAGTAGCGTGCCAAAAGTAGCGAAAAATTAATAAAGAACTTGTTGTCACGAATTCGTAAATTGTTTATTACTGCTAAAATAATGTATCCTTGATTCCAATTGAAGAAATACAAACGTTTTGATGTCCATGAGTGCTATGTCATTTGTCCTTTTTTATAATAATGTCAATGAGCAGACGAATTCTGAAAGGGGGAAAAACTCTGAATTATTTAGCCTACACATTCGGGTATCTCCAATCTAGCGAATTCCATGATATGGCGATTATTGTTTCAAACTCAAAGTATTGTTTAAATGAGGGCGAATTTATTTTAACATATTTTTTAAATGTTACATTAATACTTTGAAGTAATTAAAGTGACCGATGTATTGTATTATTATATATACAAAGGATTAACTCACAGAAAACATTGATTCGATTCCTACGCATGAAAAATAGACGAAGAGAATGATAAACGATAGTAGCCTACCACTATCGATAGTGCTTTTTTTGGCATGTCTAATCGATACTATTGATTCATATCCATATTTTACCCAGCTCTACCGATGATACAGTAATACTTTCAATAGGGCTACATGCCAATTTTTTATATTTTTCAGAATAAACAATCGTACTAAAAATGGTATGATAAGAATTTTATTTTTCCCTCTTAACTGTAAGAATAAGGATGCATTATTTTTGTTAAAGTTAAAAAAAAATTATTGAACGTCTAGCGTGATGTGATAATCAGGCCTGTAACAACATTTTAACTGAGTAAAAAGACCTGCAATAAACAGATTTACATATTACATATTAAAACCTCCTAAATAAGCTGATATCATAATTCATGACTTGGCCTTGGTTTTTCAATTTTTGGCCTTGTATCAAGGTTGCACTTTGGCCTATCGTAAGCCAAAGTTGGCCTTCGGTCGAAAAAACAAATTTCGAACCCTGGTTGTACGATTTACTAGTCTGGTATTCACATAGTTTATGTTCAGTGGGCATTAAACCCCATTTCTATTTCTCTCTCTAGAATATGATTTCCAATCACAGAGTTATAATTTCAAACAACTCCATTACAATACATACATAATTTAGTAACCTCTGTTATTATTTTTATAGGCCTACATTGAAATGTGGTCGTATAAAGTTAATCTCCGATTGACTTTAAATTTATACATAGTGTTTAAGGTCATAAGACAAAGAAGTCTATTGATTTTCAGCCAGAGTTATGGCCCTTGATCACTTTGAAAAATCTTGTGGGCGCTCTAAAGACCAAAGTTATCATCTGATTGACATTAGATTGATACACAGAGTTTAAGGTCTTGAGACGAACAACTGTATTGATTTTCAATGAATTTTGATAACTTGAACAGCCAAATTCATGATATTAAATGTTTCGTATGCTAAACATTAGCATGGGGCAGAACTAAAAGCCAAAAAAATTCTAATGATTTTCTGATAATTACTTAAAGATGGGTTCCCAGAAA